GGCAAGGCTGTCATTTAGGGTGGCAAATGCCACCCTATGCCACCCCAGTAGATCCGCCTATGGTTAAGACCAAAGTGTTCCCTATTCTTTGGACACTTTAATTTCTCTCTTTCTTAAAGGCCCGGGACTAAGAATGTAAAACCTGACACACTGTCCAGGATTTGAGACGGACGAGGAGAGTTTACAGAGATAGCTTACTGTGTAAAAAAATAATTAGATTTTAAATACATCAAACACAGAGAGCATTTTGTTTATCAGTGTGTCCCTCGATCTCTCCTTTTGCAAGATCCTCTACAATATCTTAAAACACAATTAACTGAATTAATAACTGATCAACCAAATCAAATTTCCCAATCGAATATTTTGAAGTTGAAAAGATTTCATCTTTGGCCCAAATATGACTGAAATGGCTTTAATTACAGGGCCAGATAAATATTAGATAATTTCTTAAATACAAGCAATGTTTAACTACTTCTGAAAAATATTTGAGTAAGGTTAATTTAGCATATACAGTAGTTAAATTAGTGATTTAGATAATAATTGTATTTCTTAAGGAGGTAAATTGGGGCCATAAAGTTTGTTAAAAAGAAAAAAAAATTGATCCTGAATATTTTATTTGCAGTGTTGGGTAAGTTACTTTAAAAATGTAATCCGTTACAGTTACAAGTTACCTTGTTTAAAATGTAATTGTAGTGTAACTTTTTCGATTACTTTTAAAAAGTAATGTAACTAATTACTTTTGATTATATTTTGATTACTTTAAGGTTTTAATGAGTATTGTCCCATGTTCAACATTTGATTTTTGAGAACTGAATGTGAACCTTAAAAAAGCACTAAGCTGAGAGGGAACTGCTGACAGGCAATCACAGGATGTCCACAAGAAGAGATGCCAGCACCAGGCATGTAAGATTTTCTCAGACTCCTCTCATTGGGCCATACTCTTTTCTGTTCCTCCCCCAGGCTCTACCATTTACGCAGTTTACAGACTAACACAAGCAGGTTCAGAAACCACTTCTTTCCTACAGCAGTCACCTTATTGAACTCTTCCCAAAGACCAGTCTTTCCTTACCCTCTATCCATACCTACTAAGGATAGAGGGTAAGGAAACTATGGACTATCCATACTGTACCATCCCAACATTTGTACAGTGTTCCTCTTCAATTCGCACCTGTACAGTCCTATCTACAGTGGCTCTGCACATACATGCATTTCCCCTAGGGGTAATTTATTTATTCTGCTGCACGTATCTATCAACCATCTTTTCTTACCCTAGCTGTGAATAACTGCATTTTATCTCTAAATACTGCATGCTGTACAATCTGCACACGTTGCACTTGATTAGATGCCAAACTACATTTCATTACTTCATACATGTGCAATGACAATGAAGTGCTCTAGTTTAGTAATAAATAAGCAAAGTAAGACTTTTACATCACATTTTATTTTTCTTGATTTTTCTTTTGTAAAATTAAACACGGCACAATACAGTGCATCAAGAATTAAGATGGACGATGGGTAGTAAAGTTAGTCATTGAACATTTAACAGTCAATGGAATGTTGACAAAA